AGTCCACATTGATACCATTGGGCTGCAGGGTTCCCGAGCTAAATATGAGATGCTGTTCCTGTAACCTTCGGGTGGCATCGTTGTGGCACTGCAGGAGGCCCAGGATGGACATGTCGTCCAAGGAGTTGGAGAGGGAGTTGAAATGGTTCGTGACTGGGAGGTGCAGTCGTTTGTCGCGAACTGAGCGTAGGTGTTCCGCACAGCAGTCCCCAAGCCTCCGTTTGGTTTCCCCGATGTAGAGGAGGCCACATCGGGAACAGTGGATACAGTATACCACATTAGTAGATGTGCAGGTGAACATCTGTTTGATGTGGAAGGTCTTCTTGGGGCCTGGGTTGGGGGTGAGAGGGGAGGTGTAGGGGCAGGTGTAGCACTTCCTGCAGTTGCAGGGAAAAGTACCGGGGATGGTGGGGCTGGTGGGGAGTGTGGAGCAGACAAGGGAGTCACGGAGAGAGTGGTCCTTCCGGAAAGCAGATAAGGGTTGGGAGGGAAAAATGTCTTTGGTGGTGGGGTCGGATTGCAGATGGCAGAAGTGTCGGAGGATGATACGTTGGATCCGGAGGTTGGTGGGGTGGTACGTGAGGACGAGGGGGATTCTGTTTTGGTTGTTATTGTGGAGAGGGGGTGTGAGGGATGAGTTGCGGGAAATGCGAGAGACACGGTTGAGGGCGTTTTCGACCACTGTGGAGGGGAAATTGTGGTCCTTGAAAAACGAGGACATCTGGGATGTCCGGTAGTGGAATGACTCATCTCGGGAGCAGGCGCGGCGGAGGCGAAGGAATTGGGAATAGGATACACATCAGTTACGGATCTCCATTTGAATTATTGCACAGATGGGACCATCTGCTCAAAGAGAATTAGGGCTGGGCAATAAATTGCCAATGCTGGCACATCCTAAGAGCAAATGATTTTTTAAAATTCAGTCTTTAAAACCTACCACCTTGATTATTGGTCCTAAAATGTATCCCAATATCAGTTTTTCTCTACTTATTCTTGTGAAGTATCTTATGACAGTTTACTAAAGGTACTGTATAAAAGCAAGCTGTAGTTGTTCCGGTTTCACGGCTCACAACTCACAATAACCAAAGATAGAAAGGAGTGCCAAATGTAAAATCAAACATTGCTGCAAATTCCATGGGGTAGTAGTGTTAACCAGGTTCCACTAGGTTTTCCCACAGGCCATTATAAAACAAATTCTCAGCATCAATTTATTAATATTGGATACAGGCTCAAAAACACATGTTTAGAGGTAGGGTTCAACACTATCACCTTCATTGTGTGATCCACGCACACACCATTTACCACAGAACACAGAGAACTTACCTACAAAACTCTGTCAGCAATTAAACATTCCTTTCATTGTTTAATATTTTCATCATAACATTCTAGATGACAGGAATTTTAATAGCCTAACAGGTCTGCTTTGTAGAAATTGCTGTTTCTTACCTTTCCTAAGGTAACGTCAGAGAGCCCAGACTTCTTCAGGAACAACGCTGCTTCATTTGGCTCAACTTTTCCTGTATGAGCTGGATCCACCTATAAACAGAAACACCTATTCAGTACACATCAGTCACTTGCTGAACAAACACTTCCCTCTCGTAACTCAATAAAATTTTCTGCACAAATTACTACCAAATTCAAAACAGAATACTATTTAAAATAATAAATTTAAATGTTATCGTTGGCTCATTGATGCATACATCGGAAGGCTGTGAATTCAAGCCAAACTCCAGAGATTTGAGCACATAATTGGAAATGGTATTCAATGTATTACTGAGGAAGTACTGCATTGTCGGGGGTGCTGTATTTCATTTCAGATGTTAAACCTAAAGACCCAGCTGCCTTCCCAGAGGAATGTAAAACTGCCCACAGCATTATTTAGAGAGAATCAGGACATTCTCCTATTGACTTGACCTATATTTGCCCTTCAACCAACATGTAAAATATACGACCATTTATTTCATCCGTAATTGTGCATGTTTCCCAACTTATAAGACCAACTGCAGTCCAAAAGTGGTTCATTATCTACAAAAAATGCTTTGGAACATCTCGAAATGGTGGCAGATGCTGTTATTCATGTTGCTTTTTCAGTGGCTGTTAAAGTGTGATTTTGAAAAAGTGAGCTGAAACCTTGTATAATTTTTGTTGCATCATGTTTACCATTTTGTATTATTTGACACTACTTTGCAGTTACCTCAAACATAAACACCCAATGCAGCTCCACCCACTTGTTGCCTAACATTCTGATGCCATACATGCTCAATCAGAACTTTACGCAAAAAAATCCTAAACATCTCCAAATCAGAAATACCAAAACCTGTTACATTGGATTGTAATAAGCAAAAGTTTCATCTTAACCAATTTCATTCAGGTTTATCTTCTCTGCAGAGTAGAACAGGAAAAAGTCAACACAAAATTACTCGGTCAGATGATGGAGACATAAGCTTCAGATGGCCCTCTCAAAATAGTTGCAATCATATCATCATAAATTTGAAATAATTCCTTGGACATTCATGGAGGACAATATACAAGCCATGTGATTTACTGAGTCAAATGCTTTGGTCTGATCGACGAATGCAATGAAGTATTACTGATGTTATTCAACTGTGTTTTTCTTGGATGTGACTGGCTGTCAAAGGTTCCTATGGAAGAACTAAAACCACAGTGCATCTCTGGGAAGATTTCTTCAGCTACAGGAAATGGGCAAATCAGGACAAGGTGTGTCAGGAATTCCCCTGCAATAAACAAGTCGGAAATATCTTGACAGTCTCCACAGCAGGATTTATCTCCCCTTTTGTCACATTTCTCAATTTGGCAAATCATATTGTTTGAGTTTGGGGTTGGGGTGCACACACGGTGAGCTTTAGAAGTTTTTTTTTCTCCCAAATCCATAGGATTAATGCAGAAAGTTTTCATACGTCAAAAAACATCTCAGCTGGAAAACCATCAGAGCTGCAGGCTTTGTAGTTTCTCATCTATTTAGCTGTTTGTCTACACATCTTCCATGAATAGTGGCTCACCAGTGGATTCCAGCACAGAGTTATGGGGTATAGCCTGGTGAGTATCAGCAGCCAGTACGGATTCATGTTTGAGGAGTTTCTGAAAATGCCTCATCCAGCACTGACAGTTGGCATTGTTACCTGAAGAGGATAAACACCAGCCTGTGTTCAAAGGGATTTGGCCCTCCAAAATCAGTTTGCAACCAAGCAAGGCTACGTGATGGCCTGATGCCATTTACACTCGAACTGACATTGGCTATTCACTTCAAAAATTATTAGTGCTCAAATACTGATCAATAATAAATGCCATCTAGTCAGAAAACTCTTCAACCTCTGTCACCTCAATGCCAAAATTAAACTGACCACAACAGACTTAAAAGGCCTGTGCTATGCCAATGACTACACTGTTAATGCACATCATGGACCAATTTGTGAACCACTTTCAGCCTCTTAAATTCTCCACAAAAGGGAACCAGTCTGTCCTTGATTGTTGCTAAAATAAAACCCAGGTCAACCTAAAAACGGACAGCTAAACATTGCACTTCTCACAAACATTGAAGGAGAGGTTCTAGAATATGATGGACACTTCTAGTCCCTGACATTCATCAGTCAAAAGGCTACCATTGATGAAGAGATCTAACACCAAACTGGCTGCCCTAGTTAAGCCTTTATAGACTATGACAGTGAACGTTTGACAATAAAGACCTCTGTAAGTGTTCTACTGTATGGAATAGTTGTCATCACTATGCTCCTGCACTGCACTGAGACCTGGGCTACATTCCAGTGATACATAAGAGCGTAAGAGAAATCCCATCAACATTGCCTCTACTCCATCTCAACTTGAACATGCAACTGTCCTTCTTGAAACCAGTTCCGCAAGCATTCAAGAAAAACTTCTCAAGATCAACCTCGATATCCTGTGCCTAAAAGGCTTGAAACCATCTCCCCTAACAAGTGCTGATGTCTAGCTGTCAAATGAGCAATATTCCAGGGAAGAACAAAGAAAACACTTCAAAGTCACTCTAGAGATTTTCTTGTGCCACAGTGACATCGACCTTAGTGACCAGGGGAAACTTGCTACCAATCATTCAAAACTATGCAAACTTTTCCATCAAGCTGCAGCACAATATCTTAATACAGAGGCAGAGCAGCAGCAACAACGAAAAGCAAAGGAAGCAAATCCTGTACTCCAGATCCCCCTAGCTCATAGGATGCCCTACCCCATTTGCCCAAACATCTGCGAGTTGAGAATTGTCCTGTTCAGTCATATCAAAACCATGGCATAAACCCACGGCCCTGAATAGGTGTCAGCCTCAAACTGCAGGGCAGCCAACAGCAACGATTCTTTGCAGGCAAAGATTTTGGGAAGGTTTGTCTCTGTGGAATAAGACACAATCATTGGTGACTGAAGTGGTCAATTCTTGATCTGCAGGCTCTGGATCATTTGGGGCACTGTAGCAGCTATTTGGAGGGGTTCCGGTTTTAGGAAACTCCTTCTGTTATCGGCATCTTTCTTTAGCAGTCTCTGCTTGTTTCAAAATTGCAATTTGCTTTCCTGGTTGTTGCAAGATAGCTCTCTCTGTCGCAACTTCCTGTTCCTACAACACTCACTTTTCTATAACGAGTGCTCTATGGTGTGACTGCATTATAGATACTTTCTACAATCCGTAAGTTTAAATCCTATACCAGATTACCACCATTGGTGGAAATTTAATCATCCATGAAATCCTGTATTATCAAAATTTTGCATTTTGTAGTTTTATTCAATAGAGTAGCTAACTCATACTGTCTGTTCACCCATCACTTCTGTGTCTACAGATTCCCAGACCAGCAACACAAGTTTAAATCTCTCATACAAATTTTCAAATCCCTCCAATGCTATGCCACGTGCAACTTCTTCCAGAAATCTCTAATTACGGTCCCTTGTATATCCCCAAATTTCTTTCTGCCAACATTATCACCAACATTTTCCTCAGGCTTAAGCTCTGAAATTCCTTTAGTTACTCACCTTAATATCTTTCTATGAGCCTCAGCGTGAAACCCTGTTTTGATGGGGCATTATATAAAAGTAATTAGCTATTATCATTGTTGTAAATACCTGAATAACTTTATTGAAAACTTTGTAGATTCTGAGAGACAGTGTAGAAATTACTGAATTTCTTGAAGTTATTTACTTGGTTACACTTTCAAAGGAGGGAAAACAAAAAGGTAGAAGTAGTAGCAGAAAGCAGAAAGTTTAGGAAGGCGCCTGAAGTGTTCACAAGAACTTAATCAACATGTCAGAAGGCAACATCAAAGATAGAGTGGGGAAAGGTTAAAGATCAACGACAACAGGTTGTGGTAGTGACCAGAAAAGGCTGTAAAGTTAGAAGGTAAGAAAAAAGAATGGGGCCCTTGAGTATGCATTAAAAGCCTGGCTATCTCTTTCTCAACTACGCTTTCCCCATACAATCTGCACATCCATCAATTAATTCCCTTAGTATCCAAAACCTAATGACCTAGGACTTGAATATACTCACAACTATAATCTACAGCGCTCTGGTAGAAAATTCCAAATACTCATAGCCCTGATGAAGACACTTCCCACCTCAGTCCTGTCACTGACGTAGTGTGGAATGAGCCTACTGAAGTATTTTTAAACAGGATGAACATTGTGAATCCAGTGTACTGGAGATGAATCACAGGTGAATAGCCATTTAGAGTATTGGTAAATATCAGGATAAATAAGTGGTCGAGTGGCCAGAAAATGAATGAGGAGGTTCTCAAAGGTGCCAGGGAATAGCCTGATCAGAGCTGGCAAGAAGCTGCAGAATGAAATATGTTCTCTGCTCCCATCTCGAAGAGTAAGAATAGGAGCAAAGGGCCTGTAGGGACAGTCTCAATCCTTCTCACAAGAACTGTAAGTTCCTTGAATTTTGCAAGGCTGAAGAGACAAGGAAAGGGCAAATGAGAACCGTCAGGAGGAAAAATGACACGCAGGAAATGATCTGGCTACTAGTGAAGAAGCAGTCTAATTAAAAATATCCATCCAGGCATGGCGTTGCTAATTAGGATGATTTTGCAACAGATTAATTCAAATCTTTAGAGTTTACGAAGGGGAGAACCACACAGCAAGCAGTAAACAGCAGATGTGGGATACAAGGAGACATTTGGTGGGACGAGTGTGT